TTTTGGACTGTGTAAATTCAAATTTTTATAAAACAAAGGAAGTTCCAAAGACATACACACGAAGTGGGCTGTGACACTCCTAGTATTCTGTGGGGTCAATCTAGCAAACAGTGAGTACACAGACTAGTAACAGACTACATGCTCCCAGCAGCCCACTAAAAATATACAGGAGAACCTCCTCGGACCCTCAGTAGTGGGGATTGAATCCAGGGCCTGGCACTGAGCTATCCAGCCCTATTTTATTTTTTATTTCAATACAGTGTTTTGCTAAGCTGCTAAATTACCTAGGCTGGGCTGGAACTTATAATTCTCCTCTTTTTTTTTCTTTCGTTTGGTGATGGAACTTGGGACCTTGCACTTACAAGGCAGGCGGTAGATCCACTGAGCTAAATCCCCGGCCCATATAATTCTCTTTCCTTTACCTCCCAGAGTGCTGGGATTACAGGTGTGTGCACCACAGCCAAACTGATCTACAATTCTTTGTAATGCTTTTGTGGCCCTGAGAAATAAAGAGAAAGTTTACTTTGGTTTCCAAAGGGCCTCAAGATGTCAACATCTCAGGCTTCAGATAATAAATCAAAGTGCGTTTACAGAAATAAAAAAGAAAACTTACTACTGTTGGCCTTGTCTAGTACTAGAATCAGAAGTTAAAGGTCACTGGGGATGGTGGTACCTGCCCCTAATTCCAGGTTCTTAGGAGGCTGAAGGAGAAGGATCTCAAGTTCAAACCCAGTTACAGTTTCTAGGCACAGAGGTCTAAGAGATTGGGTTTCATGATCACGAGGATGTGATGGATCACAGTGATTTCCAGAACCAAAGTAGAAAAGACTCTCCTCCCCAGTGGCACTCTCTCAACTGTCATACACGCACATTACACTGCAAACACACCCCATCCTGTGTGGGCATGCCTGCTTGACAAGTCAGTGGCCTCAGCGATGTACCACACTTATCTTTCGAATGAGACGCTCTCCTGAACATATACACCCACGGTCAATGTATCACATTCTCTGCATACACCCTGAAGGTGAATGAACTGCCAGTTGCTTCTCGGCCTTTTGGCTAAGATCAAGGTGAACGAACGGCCTTACTTTACATTTCTAAACTATGACCTTGTATTTCTGACTCTCAATGTTAAACTGAGGTTTAAAAACCATGCCTAGAGATTATGCAAATAATCTGGAACTCATGAATCAGGGGAGCCGTAAAGTTTGGTAAGGAGGTAAGTAAAATGGCCCCATGTGAGGAAAAGTCCATTAACAGTGAGAACATAACAAAGTAGTCTAGTATTTATTTTTTGGGTACTGGGGACTGAATTTGGGAATTTGTGGCTTGCCAGGCAGGCAGTGGCACCACTCAGCTAAATCCCTGGCTTGTTTTATTCTTAAGGATGCATATTAAAAGCAAAAATAAAAGGGAACTTTTCCTCTAATATTAACAATGAATCTACACAGAAGAGGATTCGGTGTTTTGTGTTTCACTCTCCTTCCTTATTTTTATCTGTCATTTCTTCTGCTTCTACATAGTATCCCATGACCACCCCAGCCACTTACCTCCTGAAAGCCTGCCCATCCACAGAGCACTGGTATGAACACCATCTTCTTCCTGCCACCTCTTCCCACCCAGCCAGAACCAGCCCACTTCTCTCTTCTGCATCGGTACACCACACTTCCATACTGCAGTTACAGCATATATTAATTACGAGTTGCCTATCAAGATTTCTACTCTATTAGTTTTCAGATTTCAGGGGCAGACACCCATTTCCCCGTCGTAGTATACCTGACAAAATGTCACACAGGAATATCTACTTGTCAGAAATCAAAGAAAATATTGCTATACATCTACACGTACTTCTTATATGACTTTAGTAAGCTGTAATTCACATACCATACAATTCACACACCTCTTTTTTGTTTTTTTGAGGCAGAGTCTCACTGTTTAAATCAGGCTGGCCTTGAACTCATTATGTAGCCCAGGCTGGCCTTGAACTTGCAAAAATCCTGCCTCAACCTATCAAGTGCTGAGATTACAGACATATGCCACCATGCCCAGCAATCTACTCATCTAAAGTGTACATTTCAATTGCCTTTAGAATTATAATCACAGGGTTATAAAACTATTACCATTATCCAATTTTAGAACACTTTTCAAAATCTCAAAAAGAAACTCCAGGCTGGGTGTGGTAGCACATGCCTGTAATCCCAGCACTCGGGAGGCTGTGAGGCAGGCGGATCGCTGTGAGTTCAAGACCAGCCTGGGCTACACAGTGAGTTAGTTCCAGGTCAGTCTCAACTACGTAGTGAGACCCTGTCTCAAAAAAACCAAAAAAAAACCCCAATGAATTAGTACTCCTTTCCCATTTCTCACCTAACCCCACCAGCCCTAACACCACTAACCTACTTTCTGACTATAGATTTGCATATTCTACACATCTCACAACTGGGATCATAAAGTATTGGTCTTTTATGACTAGCTTTTCTTTCATGTATATAATGTTTGCATAATTCATCCAAGTTGTACCATTATCAGTTCACTTAGCTCCGTTGTGTTTCACTGTATAAAGCTATCATATTTTATTTATGTATCACTAGTTTGATACTTGGATTTTTCCACTTTTTGGCTATAGTAAGTAATCTTACCATGAATAGTTTTTATGTATATGTTTTCACTTCAGTCAGATATAGACTTAGGAAGAGGACTTTGTTAATGCTTTTATTTTCCTGACTGATGATACCAAGCATCTTTTCATATTCTTATGGTCCATCTGAATATCTTTAGGGAAATGCCTGTTGAGGTGTTTTACTTATTTATTTTTGTTTTTTATTTCTGCAGTACTGGGGGTCAAACTCAGGACCTTATGCTTGCGAGGTAGGCTTGGTACCACTGAGCTAAATCCCCAGCCCTTGTTTTACTCATTTTACAACTGGGTTATTTGTCTTTTTAATCACGAAGTTGGAGGAGCTCTTTGTAACAGTCATCCCTTGGTATCTGTGGGTGATTGGATCCAGGACCCCAAGCATCAATATGGATGCTCAATCCATAAAAATGGCATTATATTTGTATATAAACTACATGCCATCTTCCCATCTACTTTAATCTCCAGATTATTTACAAAACCTATCGTGATGTAAATGCTATGTAAAGAGATGTTATACTATACTGAGTAGGAAATAAAGACAAAGAAAGAAGTATGTATCTGCATTTCCCCTGTATATTTTCTATCTGCAGTTGTTGGATACATGGATGCAGAAACTGTGGATGCTGAACCCGCGAATGCAGAGTTGACTACGCTCAGTTACAAGTACCTTATCAAACACATGATTTTTACTTCTGTCTTTTTACTTTCTTGATGTATTACTCTGCAGCTTAAGTTCCAAATCTTTATTTGGGCTTTGGCACTGATTTACATTCTCAGCTTTTTTTTTTTCATTTTTTATTTTGAGACAGTGTCTCATTAAGTTGCTAAGTTGCCTAGCCTAGGCTCATACTTGCTTTCAAATCTTGAAGGAAACCAACTTCTTTTCTTTTCTTTCTTTTTGGTACCAGGGATTGAACTCAGAGCCTTGTACTTGTGAGGCAGGCAGCAACACCACTGAGCAAAATCCCTGGCCCCCAACTTACTTTCTTTTACTTTGAAAAGAAATGCTTTTGGTGTCACGTCTAAAAAGTTTGCTTAACACAAAATCACAGAGATTCATTCCTGTTTTTTAAATAATATTACAAATACTAGTTCTTAAATGTAAGTCTGACCTATTTTGAGTTACTTTTTACACAGGTAGAAGGGAAGGATCCAATATCATTCTTTTGCATGTGCCTATCCAAATGTTTCAGCATTTGTTGAAGACTTCTCCAAGCAGTCTTGACCCCCTTGTCAAAACTCAAGTCTGTGTTGGGCTGCGGATTTTGCTCAGTTGTGCTGTGCCTGCCTCACAAGTGCAAGCTCCTGAGTTCAATCCCAAAAATCAAAACAAAAAAAAAAAACATCAAGTGTGGGTTGACACAGACACATGGATTTATTTAACTGACTTTCAATTCTCAATCCTTATGCCAGTAGCACAGTCTTAGTTACTGTACCTTTCTATTAAGTTTTGAAATCAGAAGTGTGAATCCTCCAACTTTGTTCTTTTATAGGACTTTCTTGGTTAGGTTGGGTCTCTTGTATTTTCACATAAATTTTAGAATTAGCCTGTCAGTGAAAAATAAAACTGGGCCAGGGATTTAGCTCAGTGGTTCTGGCGCCTGCCTGGCAAGTGCGAGGATCGAGTTTGACCCCTGGTACCAATAAACAAACAAACAAATAAAAAAATTGGGTAAAAATAAAACTGCTAGGGAAAGTGGTGAATCTGTAGATCAATTTGGGGGAAAATGCCATCTTAATAAATTTTATGATCCATTAGCAAGGGATATCCTTTCCACTTTTTTGGTCTTAAAGTGCATTTTAATGGACTGAATTTACATCTCTTTATTAAAATGAAGACATCTATAGATCTCCGTTCTTAGCTCTTCCATCCATTAAAATACAAATACATGCCGCACATCTTCAGGAAAAATCTGAAGACTATAAAATATCTTGGGATTTCCTCCTTATTTGGAATGCCTTATCAAAGACAGTGAAGTTAAGTTTTCTGCTGATTTCTGAGTGTTTCTTTTTGGTACCAGGGATCAAACTTGGGACCTTGTGCTTGCGAGGCAGGAAGTCTGAGTGTTTCTTGTATAAAACTTACTGGAAAAAGAACAATGAAACAGAGCATCTTAAAACTTATACACAATGCATATTTGTACCTATAAAATACAAAAGTACACACATATGTAAGAATTTGTTATAGTGGTTAATTATCCATGCAGAGAAAGAATGGAATAAAGGAGGACTAGCATTTTTTTTTTTAAACCACAGAGGTGTTTTCATGTATTTCTGGTATAATTTTAAATGAGTAACGAATATAATTATGTCAATAAAAGTTTTAAAAATATATATCATCCTAAGAGTAAACAGCCTGGCTAACCTTGAGATCACAGGTGGTGTTGAGCAGCAGGTTGGAAGGCTTGAGGTCACGGTGCAGAACATTAGCTGAGTGGATATATTTTAAGCCTCTGAGGATCTGGTAAAGAAAATAGCAGATATGGTCGTTGCTGAGGTGTTGTGTCTTCAAGAGCTTGTAAAGGTCTGTTTCCATTAGGTCCTGTACTATATATCTGTTTGGACAGGTTAAAGTAAAACACCAAATAGCTGGTCATACTTATTAGCAAAGCATTAAAAATAAAATTCACCCTCTCTCAATCCTCTTCCCAAATGATCCATTAAACCATGAGGCCTTCAAGGGAAATAAGAAACTGAAGAAAACCTGGTTTAGCTTCCTAGAAGAAATCACCTTTTTAGCTCCTGTGGAAAAAAAACCTGGCATTATACTTGCCTGATGTGGCTAGTTATAAGCCTTGCCTGAAACCTGAAACAGATATGTCAGTCCATTTTGAAATCTCAATCTTGCTATTGAGGATCATAAGTTGAGCAAGTCTGGCACCTTTGTGAGACCTTAAAATAAAAAATAAAAGAGGGCTGGGAATGTAGAGAGTTCAATCTCCAGTACCCCCCACCATTAATGAATCTCCAAGGCGGCGAGTGGTGGCCAACAAGTATCAGATGTGACCTCATCTTTTTGGCCTAGCAACAACCTGTAACATTATCACTCTATTTCTCCCTTCTTTGCCACCCTTAGACCCGCCTCTGTTCAAAACCAACTATAAAACTTTTAGAAATCCAGGTCTAGAAACATTGTTACCAAATCCAACCCTCAACTTTTTTGGTTTGTTTTTGTTGTTTTAAGACAGGGTTTCACAATGTAGTTTAGGCCAGCCTTGAATTCATTAGTGTAGGCTGCCTCAAATGGGAAGCAATTCTCCTGCCTCAGCCTCCTGAATGCTGGGACTACAAGTCTGTGCCACCATGCCTGGCCTATTTTCTTCATTCTTTGTTTACTGTTAAGATCCTAGCCATGGGGGTGCACATCTGTAATCTCAGTACCCCAGAAGACTAGACAGGAAGTTCACAAGTTAAGCCAAACCTAGGCATCTCAGTGAGACCCTGTCTCAAAATATACAAAAGAGGACTGAGAATGTAACTTAGTACAATAAGCTCAACCTCCAGCATACTCCTTCCTCACACCCAATCCCATATAAAGACGACCAAGGGAAGTTGTGATAAGAAGGGGTTTGCACTTGCTTGTCTAGCCATGTGTCTTAAGCACTTTAGTTTTGGCTACCTTCTTAAAGCTGGCAGTTTTTAAGTTTACCATATATAAACCATAGTCGTGTTTTGCAATTCTTTTATACATTTTTGCATAAATATTATTCTATTTCCTACAGGTTCATGCTAGATGAAATCTGGCATGGGACTCAAATAACACAGGATGTTAAAAAAAAAAAAACTGTCATCTGTAAGAGGCTTAATTCCATTGTAGAAGGTAAAGCAAGACCAACAGGAGGTAGTAGCAGGAGACACTTCACTTAAAATAACACTACAACTTATTAACAGGGCTGCTTGAAAATGGATAGGGTTGTCTAGAGACAGTGAGCTACTGCTATGGTTCCCTGGAGGAGAGCAAACTAGATAAATTCATAGCCTGAACTAGCCTGACCTGTAAGGATCTCGCTTTGGGCAGACCTTCAGCATATTTAACACTTCTTTAATATGCAGCCTTTACCCAGGCAGCATCCTCTAGACCTGCTTAGTCCAGATTTCTAATGTTGGTCACAGCTATTTACACACTTTCAGAGTTTGGTCAGTCTTAAAGATCATGAGGACCAGTTTTTTCATTTTAAACATCAGTAAACTCAAACTTGAAGAAGAGCTAAGACACTAAGAAGAGGACAGTACTAATTTGACCAGGTGGTATATCCTTTTTATTTTACTTGACTGTTCTTTGCTTTTTCATCATCATAAATCATCCATTAAAGGGAAAACACTCAACTGGAAATGACCAAGATATTCCATACACATAAAGAAAATCTTTCCTGAAACTGCCAGAGAAAACATTGGACTTACTTAAAAGATACTAAAATTAATTATTGACAATTGATAAAATGAATCAGAAAAAAAAATGTAGCTACTATATTACTACAGTCTCTCCTTAAATGCAGTTTATGCAATTTTCCTTTACTCTGGTAAGTCCAGGAAATTTTAAGTTATATTTATTTAAGAAGATATATAAGCAGTCTAGTCAGCTAGTTGCCAGAAAAGGATACACATCTTTCATTTGCTCGATGGTTGGTGCGCGGATAATATCATTGATGCCAATGATGTTCTCATGTCTGAAGCGCAGTAAGATTTTTATCTCCCTCAGGGTTCTCTGGCAGTAAGTCTGGTGTTCGAAAGGACTGATTTTCTTGATAGCTACTCGAACTTTGTTGATGTTATCATATGCAGAGCTAAAAAAGAAGTAGGAGATGACATTAAAAACAGCCCACAGAATACTTGGCAGCAAGAATACAAATTGATACTACTGAATTTTTAGCTTTGTATAAATACTTGTTTATTATCTGTGAAGTACATAATCCACAAAACAGCCTCAAGCAAGGGAGGAAGCATTTGACAGAGACAGCAAATACCGAATCTCAAAGGTAACAGAAAGGCCAGCCGAATTCACTGGGTGGATGTTCATTTTCATAGACTCAAAACATGGGTATATGCTAGACACACAAAAAGGCATTTTCCTATTGTCTTAAACAGCAATCTCATTTTGGTGACAGCAATCACTCTGCCTCCAAAACAAATGCCTACTGTTGTATCAAATTCCTTTGACTCAGCAGAAACGATCAAAAGACCATCAACCACATCTTCTTCCTTAACAAAAATGGACCCAAGAGGCCTTGATTGCTTATATCAACTTTGTTCTCTTATTTCAAAATGACATGATGTATTCCTTTTTTTGTTCCCAACAAAATGAACAATGATGCTGGGGTAGTTTTATAACAGAATCTACAATTAAAATACTTTCATAGGTACAGTATAACATAGAACCTGATTCTTTCCAAGTTATCTTTTTAAAGGTCTGACAACATAATTCCAAGCAGAAGCAATAATAAAAATGACACCCTTGCCTGTAATCCTAGCACCTGGGAGGCTGAGGCAGAAGGATTGCTGCAAACTGTAAGCCAGCCTGGGCTACACAGCAAGACCCTGTCTCAAAAAAATAAAACAAACTACATACCTATACACATACATACATACACCTTCAGTGAATATAAATCTTGAGTATTCCTTCTATCTTTATTTCTACATTCTGTTGAAATACTTTATAGAAAATATTTTTAAAATATGTAAAAATTTTCATATTAATAAATGTCAACATCTGGTCCACTGACCAAAACAATGATGTAATATTGGCAGACAAGATCTTTCTTGTTTCCTCAAGGTAAATGCTAGAAACATGGATCTGTAAAATAACCTTAGTCCTAAGTTTGTGTTTCTGTAATACTTACCAGTCTATTTTAACAATTATTTACGTTTGTCTGATTCCATCACAAGACTGTGTCCTAGGAAGGAACTTGACTTATTCTATTTCAATTATTCTTCAATGCCAAACACTCTGAAAGAAAACTACTGAACTCTTATGTATTTGGTTTGCCACATTAAAGTCTAAATCAGCAATTTTCAGGTAGATAGGAAGTGTAATTTAAGCAATCTTATTCAACAATAGGAATAAACATTTCTAGAAACAGAAACTCTTTGGTAATTCAAATCATAAAAAGACCACACACTCAACAAAACAGAGGTCACAGACTGAAATGGTTATAAAGGACTAGAACTGTAGCTCAAGGTAGACTTTTGTGTAGCATGCATGAGGCCTGGGGTTATTCCCCAGCATCACAAAAATAATTTTGGAAGTAGCGGTTTCAGTGTAAACTATAAATTTCTAGTTTTACTGAAGACAGTAATTAAAAGGACATAAATTTGCTTTACAAAATCACCTAACAAGACTGTTGGAAGGAGTTCATGGTCTGTGTCCTTTTACATCAACGTTCAGTGATAAAATGACTGACAGTCATCCTTATCTGTTCCCACTTGAAAAGGTATGACTCTGTGCACGAGTGTAGTCAGTTCCTGTCTGCTCTGCCTATCCATTTTTTGCTGCCTTTGTTTAATATAACCATCACAGGATAGTAAAAAATATGTAATACTGAGTGGCTGTGGAGAGAGGGACATAATGCCAGGCAGAAGTGGGACATACAGGGATAGAGAGGGGAAAAACATCTTTCATAGTATATTGTTTGTACTGTTTTAAGAGCAATATATGAACCTATCTTAAAAAATAAAATGCAAAAACCCCAATACAAAAATGTTAAGTCAGGGGAAAAAGAGAATTAGTAGTAGAATACTTTTATTTTAGTAGAATACTCTCTAAAAAGAAAGCAATTACTTTGGAATGACCAGTACAAAAATAGTTTAAAAAGAAATAATTTCTGGGCCAGGGATTTAGCTCAGTGGTTCTACCACCTGCCTTGCAAGACCAAGGACCTGCGTTTGATCCCCAGGACCAGAAAAAAGAAATAATTTCTGAAAGGAGGTAGAACATATTTGATAATATATTTAATCTCATTCTCATTTGAGGAAATAATCTTTAAAATTGGAACTCTGTGTGTGTGTGAAAAGTTTTATCCAGAACTGGGTTAGTAGTACCTTCTCCATACTGAGGAGCATTCTAACATTAGGATGCATAGAGTATAGACAGTATAGCCTGCCTTTGAGAAGTTCAAAATATTGAGACTACCCAGTCCCAGATGAGTTCTACCCTAAGACCCCTACGTCTTGGGAAGTGCAAGGGTATTAAGAATGGAGGTTGAGGGCCGGGGATTTAGCTCAGCGGTTCAGTGGCCTGCCTCACAAGCACAAGGACCTGAGTTCCACCCCGGTACCGCCAAAAAAAAAAAAAAAAAAAAAAAAAAAAGGAGGTTGAGTATACATAGTTACCTGAAAATAAATTCTATTTGATAATAAAAAAGAATGAACTACTGATATAACAAACACAGATGAATCTCAAAATAGTTATACCGAGCAAAGCCAGACAAAAAGTAGTACTTCCATTTATACAACATACAAACTGGGCCGGGGATATAGCTCAGGGGTACAGCGCCTGCCTGGCAAGTGCAAGGCTCTGAGTTCAATTCCCAGTTTACAAAAAAAAAGCAATATATAAAATACAAACTCATCTGGCCAGGCGAGGTGGTGCATGCCTATAGTCCTAGCACTCAGCAGGCTGGGGCAGGAGGATTGCCACAAGTTCAAGGGCAGCCCAGGATACACAGTTCAATGCTAGCCTGAACTAAAACCAAGACCCTATCTCAAAAAAACTTAACAAAACAAATGAACAAAAAAAACCCTCATGTATAGGTGCAGAAAGATCAGTTGGGCCGTCTGGCACCAGATAGGGAGAGGTATTATACTTGGAAATTAGGTAATTTTGGGAGGTGATGAAGGTTTCAAGGCTGTACAATATGTCAAAATTGATCCCATTTTACACTTTAAATATAAGCAATACATTGTATATTCCTCAATAAAGTAGTTTAAAACAACAAAGAAAGGAACCAGAGTTCTTCGAATATATGACTGGTTTCCAGTCTGAGGTTGGTAGGAAAATAAATGGTCCAGAAACATACTGATCGGTAAATGTAGAAGTAAAAGTCCACAGAATTCTGGAGTAGATTATTTAACAGATGTTTTGTGATCACTTAGAGAAGAAAAGGGAACCAGCATGAGTTAATTGTGAACAAGTCAGGCTAAACTAACTTCATTTCCTGTTTTGATAGGGTTACCACCATAACAGGAGTGACGCCAGAGCTGTGGTGAATTCAAGCCACATGTGTATACTACCTTCATGTTAGTACTCGTGGCAAAAACAAAAAATGATGCTACACTTGAGAAACTTGCAATTTAAAAGACAGAGGAACACACAATATAACTCAGATAGTAAAGTACTTCTGAAAACAAGGAGAATCTGTGTAGATTAATCCCAAAATTGGGTATTAGGGGAAAGATTAAAAGATGAGACTTATAAAAACTATATCCTGTCAGGCATGGTGGTGCATGCCTGTAATCCCAGCACTCTGGGAGGCTGAGGCAGGAGGATCACAAGTTCAAGCCCAGACTAGGCAACTTAAGTGACTTAGCAAAACCCTGTCTCCAGAACAACAACAACAACAACAAACAACAACAACAACAACAACAACAACAACAACAACAACAACAACAACGGGTGAGGGATATGGCTCAGCATGAAGGCCCTGGGTTCGATTCCTAGTATTGTGGGGGTGGGGGAATCCTAAAGGATAAGTGTATACAAGTAACACATGAAGAAGGAAATGATTGGGGGCCAGGGATTTAGCTCCATGGCACCATGGCACCATGCCTGCCAAGCAAGCACAAGGTCCTCTGTTCGATCCCCAATTGGGGCGGGAGGCAGGGAGATGAGTGGGGTATCAATGATAACCACTGGCTCTCACCCAATCAGGCTCCTTCCCACAGTTTATGAGGTAAGAGGACCATGACTACCATAATCCCGGAATTCCTTGCCACACAAACTACGTAATGCTATGCCCAGCAGCTCACTTGAGAGCAGAACGTTTCTTCAGTGTAAGCACTGAGGGGTGGCCAATGGACAGCTGTTCACAGGCATGTACTACACACTGACTGTGTGAGTGGCAGGCCCTGCCTATAGGCTCAAGCTCACAGTATGGGCCCGTGTGGGGCAGCACAGTAGCTGAGAAGAGAAGATGGGTGTGCTCGAGGCCTGCTTTCCTGGAACAGCTGGCATAGGCAAAGAGCTGTAAAAAGCCAGATAATTTTCAATTTGAACTTGATCTCCCAGATCACTGAAAAGATACCATACAGCAGGAAAGAATATATTCCTATTTAATGTTTCTTGGCTTGATATTTATGGAAGGCTGGCTCCATTTGTATTCTTCCCAGACCTTGCAAAAATGCCACAATGGCCTAGGAAGTACAAAATGAAGACGAGCAGGGTCCAAGGACAGTCTGGATATCCTGATTTAGAGATCTAAGGTTGCCTGTAGGTGATTCAGATAGAGGTGATAATTCCATGCTTTCAGTAGCATAACAAGTGATCAAAGTCACAGAAGCCATAGCAAGTAGCACTGCCCTGAGAAATGAAGCTAGTAAAAAGAAGCCTGAGGGTAGAACTTCACGCAGAAAGAAGACAAGGAACTAGTAGGAGTGAGAAAGTAAGAATAATGAATGTGTGTTTTCCAACTCTGAAGTCCATATGCATCAGGACCAGAAGAGAGTGATGTTTCAGAAGTCAAAGGAAAGTTTCAAACTGGAGAGGTTAAAAAAAAAAAACGGTGAGAAATGGAAAGCATTCACAGTGACTCTGCATGAGGATGTGTGGTGACCTGGGCCTAAACGAGAAAATGAAAGGGAAAGGAGACAGAAGTAGAAAAAGCTTTTTTAAACAGTGCTAACAAGGCATGAAGGAGAACGTCA